CCAAGCATGGCGTCATTGGTTTTACGCGCTCAATGGCTGTGAGTATTTACTTTTACTTTTTACATTTTAAATTAAATTATTTCAACCACACTGACGTTATCTACTCATCCTTCGCAGGATCCACTTCACTACCAACACACTGGTGTGGCCTTTATGGTCGTTTGTCCTGGTCTCACCACCAGTGAAATGATGATGAATTTACGTGAGAAATCCATGATGGGTCAACAGTCATACGTTGGTGAGATGGTCGAAGCGATGAACCAGGCCAAACACCAATCGCCCGAAGAGTGTGCGATGAACATGGTCAAAGCGATGGAGATGATGAAGAACGGTGCTGTTTATTTGTGCAACATGGGTCAATTGAAGGAGGTGATGCCAACCAATTACTGGCAAATGTAAATTTGTACTGTAGAAAACAAAAATTGGACAGTCAGTTAATGGCGATCTGAAAAGGCTGCAAGCAAAAAAAAAATTAAAATAAAAATAAAATTAAAAAATGGAAGCAAATAAAATTTTTTGGAAATCACTTAATACTTTATGCAAAGCAAAAATATGTTTTCATTGCAATAGGGTTTTTCGATTTGAGCAGGAACTATTTATGACGGTTATCATACTTGTGTTGTTGAGTTTTACCTGAACCTTCCGTTTTTTTGTGTTTTAAATGCGACAGTATTAAGGTAGGTATGTGCTTCGGGGTTTGCTTCTAATTAGTAAGGTTTGTTTATTGAAGAGAAGGTGGGCCGAAAATCGAGCGTTGAATTTCGTAGCTTTTTTAACTTTGATACGAGTAGAGATACAATTGGTTTCAGTGAGTAAAATTTTGTAAAAAAGTAAGAGGGTTTTAGTTGGAAAATATTTTAAGAGGGTACAAAAAGAAAAATTGTGAATATTTCCCAAGTTTTAGACCAAGCCTAAGTATTTTAAAGATGCAAAATATTACCTCAACTCCCCTCACCTCACTTAAACTCACAGCCCTGAAAATCGAGAAGTGGTCCCAAAGACCCAAAATAGTCACGAAAATCCCAAAAGTCAAGAAGTAGTCCCAAAGGCCAGAAATATGTAGTGCCGCAAATACCGAGTTAGTCTTAAATTCGCGAAATGGTGCCCAATATTCCGCTATAGTCCCGAAAATCCCAAGTTAATTCTGAAACTCGAAGTAATCCCGAAACTCTCCAAAGTAGTCCCGCAAACCGAAATAGTCTCGTTAATCCCAAAAATTCTGAAATAGTATCGAAATCCCAAAATAGTCCCGAAAATCTCTATATAGTCGCGAAAATCTTGATATAGTCTCACGAATTTCGAAAATCCCGAAATAGTCTACAAAAAAGTCCCGAAAATATTAAGCAGTTTCCAAGGTTTCAAACTTGGTAATGACGATTTTTAAAAAGGAGATTTAGTTTTTGGTTTTTATTACACATAAATTCATATGTATAAGTTGGTTGTCAAGTTATAGCGTATGCCGATGACATAGCAATCGTAGCATCGTGAGTTATTACAAAATGCACCCAATATTGTAAATATCTTGTCTGAGGAATGTGGTCTAAGCGTGGAGGATATAAAATTCTTCCTTTCAAACACCCCATCTTAGACGGGGTTGAACTCACTCTCTCAACCGAGGTCAAATACATTGGAGTAAATCTAGACAGAAAACTCGACTAGAGACGAAAGAGGCGAATACCTCTTTATAAAAGCCAATACCGCCCTGTATGCCTATAAGACGGCTATAGGCAAAAAATTGCCAATAAAACCACATAAGGCATACTGGATGTACACAGCTGTACAGCGTACTACAGTCGGCGTTAAACAAGACTTTGACCAGAGCCAAATTGGAACGGGTTTCTAATGTTTACCGCGGGAGCACTACCCAATACACTCACTAAGTCTTTGGAATTAATGCGAAATCTTCCACCGGTGGAGAGACCTCACATTCGGACGCGCGAATGTCCTAGAATCCCTGCCGAAAAATGTACAACAATTAGATTATACAACTCATGTATACTGTTTAGACAACGAATTTTTCACAAGAAGGCCAGTGAGGATCGAATGGAAAGTTGCCAAAGACCGAGACCCAGGGTCAACGGCTATACTTATATACAGATGGTTCCAAGCTGAACGAAAGAGTGTGCAGTGGATTTCACTCTGAACTCGAACTAATCCTCAGTTTTCACTAAACTAAGCGCCATAATGAAGGCCGCTCGGTTGCTCATAACCTCCAACCCCCCAGAACAGCTTATCACTATATATTCTGACAGCTAAGATGCTGTTAAATCTTTAAAATTGAGCTGACAAGTAGAGGGACGACAATATCCGAAGTCGATTCTGCTCAAGACGCATGCATGCCTCTAACCTGCTACATACATGGTATAAAGGCAGAACTCACCAATGAGCTAAACACCAGATCGCCTGAGGCAAATTTGGCTAAAAGTCAAAAGTTGATGTAAAGCGATCCTTAGCTCTCACTTGACCGATCTTCTATCAGATTAGGACTTGGGGTATTCACCGCACACTGCCTAATGGATACGCACGGTAAGAGGTTAGGATATGCAACCAACGATTTTGGTGGCAGCTGCAGAGACGAAGAAGAGGTGGATAGTATCGAACACTATCCCTGTCGTGTCCGCCCTAGCCAAGATGCGCAAAACCACTTCTTTAACAAGTACCTTTTAGATTACTTAGCAGACCTGAACATTCTCAATTTTCTGTGCTATATAAAACGCACTCGGTGGTTAAATTTTTAGGAAAGATAGAGCCAAATTTATTTTCGCCAGTGGTATCACAACTTCTTATAAGTATTTTTGTGGAGCAAAACTTCTTTCGCTGCATGGGAGGGTTTTCTCAAGGTCGCAACGCGTCACTTTTCCACGAAAAACATTCCTTAGTTTTAATAGTTTCCCCGCCGCGCTCGAAACAGATTGAATTGTGAACGTGAAAGCCGCCGAAGAAATCGTTTTGCATTTGGAATGAGCCTTTCGATTTAACATAGGACGAATTTCTCTCAACTCGTTACATGCGAGAGGTTAATGTGCGCTTTTGTGCAACTCTCTTCAATAGACCCGATTCAACCAATTGGCGAAGAATGGTTGGATTGGTTAATGGAGCTTTCGATTCGGGCGCAATGCGAGCTACAGTTAGCTGAAGAGGAAAGTGAGACGTGAACGCAAAGAGCTGTAAATTATGACCGAATGGAAAAACGTCTGAAAATTGTACTAGAGTTTCAATATTAGGACGAACTCCTGTAAGGACAAGCCCGCCGATCTAGTGATTGAGGTCCAAAACATACATCAATTAAGGTGGGAGCACTGAAAGCAGTTAAGAAGATGAACCCGAACCCCAGTCGAAGGTGACGGAATCTATGTCCCTAGCCTACCATTGACGAATTGATTGGGCCTTATCAGTGGGACTTTAGAACTGTTAAATTCCCCATAGACCAGATATTGACCATACGTCAAATCTTAAATTTCAAATACACGCGAAATGAGGATTAACACACACTATCTATTTGTCGATAGCACGAAAGGATTTTCCCTCTATGCAGCGATATCTGAATTTGGTACCCCTTCGAACCTATCACGGCTATGAAAATGATGTGGAGCAATACCATCAACTCCGCCAGAATTGAAAATGATGAACAAAGATAGTTAAAAAGTTAGAAAGTACTATGGATGTGACTACAATCTCTTCAGCTGCACATCGTCAATCTATACCAGGTCCCCAAATATTATGGTGTTGCGATAAATATAGAAGCATAGGAGTGCGCGAGTAAAATGTCTAAGATAGTACGTGGGGAACACATCGGTTCATTTTGCACAGTGCTCGATGATAGAAAATGAAAATACGCCTTCCCACGGAAGCGCAATCGTAACAAGAATACAATTTTTTCTAGTATATACATTTGTATCCCTCCAAAGAATGCGATTCAGATTCCGAAGATTTTGCGAGTTTCGCCAGAGTTTCAATGAATTAGTTGTTTGGACGTGATGAAACATCGGAACGATTTTAAGGACATGTAGAGATAGGTGATATTATACATATTCCTCCTCGATGGTGCAACGAAAAAGCGACAAAATGAGAGAGACAATTCTGTAGAACAAAAAGGACGAATAGGTATTGAAAATGCGCTTTTAATAAATTTTATCTTTTTAAGTTAATAAAGTTTGTATTGTAAATTTTCAAGGATATTTAAGGACAAAATTTGTAAAGGACATTTTTCATACCCATTCTTCCTTATGCACCAAAATATGTATTCTTTAATAACTCTACAGAATTTTTTCTTTTATATGATACCCTTATCTGTTATCCTACATTGCACCGAATTTTTTATATAATTTTTTGGAAATAATCATATTTTTTAAATTTCGAAGTCCTTTAATAAAAATCGTCACGTCAAAGAGAAAAAGTAAGTACGCAGTTTTACTCTAATTTAACCGTAGTTTCGGGAATATATTCATTTTTGTGTGTATAAAATCTACTGTCGCACTGTGTAACAGGAAGCAGGAATTCCACTCCAGTCGCGCGTAGCATCCATACACAACTTTTTTTTTTGATTATTCGGCTACTGATATCAGCCTGAAATTCAGTGCCTAAATTAAGAGTTCCGACCTTAATAAAGAATTTATGGATTTTGAAAATAAATTTTGCTCTTAAGACACATAAAGAAAAATTCTTAAAGAATTTAACTAGGTGGCGTTGCAAAGTATGCTGGATATTCGCCAGCTTTGCTATAAAAGTAGACTGAAATTTATTTTTGACATTATCATAATATTTATACAATTTATATGTTTGTATGTATGATATTCTAGGTATCAACATTAGTATAAGTCTTAATTATAGGAAGAGAGAGCATTTATGTTGGATTTTGTAAATTTAAAAGTTTTTTAAATCATCCACATTATAGTAAATATATATATACATACATATGTATGTAGTCTACACGTATTCATATTATTATCCGTTATCACTGTCGTTGCTTTTTATATGTAGAACTAATTTCATGGCAACAACTCAATCTTTTTGTATGCTAGATATATTGAAAGATTTTCAAAAGGCACTTTTTCATGAGATCAACTGCAACGGTAAATAATTTGCCGATGCTAAGATTCACTTTGCGTTGGCTTATAGCATAGACAGACGGCAACGTTAATCCGCATGAAAATTGCACCCTGACAGACGGCGGTATTGCGGTTTAAGTCAGCCGAGAGCTCGTAGGTGCAAATCTCGCGGCCAATTAATTTTTTTTAAGTTTTTTAGTTTTACATATTATTACATATAATTCCCGTGAACTTTTTAATAAAAATTTTCAACTCTAAAAAATTATATTAAAGAAACTTGTAATAATAATATGAAATAAAATCAAAAAAAAACATAAATTAAAATATGTAAAAAAAAATTCAAATTTTAAAACTTAATTTTGAAAATTGGTCAGGCCCTACCTGAATTGTAGTACGCAGTTTTCACCACTTGGCTATCGTGGATGCCAAACCCATTCGCTTTGTTTGTTTACTTAATTGCTCCTTTTATTTTTCATTCACAATAGAAAACAGTCGGCCGTTTTGATCAGTGTTGTTATCGAAAATGAGAATTATCTCTGGCACTTAATCTGGAACAACTACAGTTAATTCCCGACATAATTACGTATAAATGAATTGATCCGGATTAACGCTTCCGTCTGTCTATGCTTTAGAATCAGTACAAAAAATGCTGCTTAATAAAATTAGGAAACGAAATAAATTACATTGTGGAACAATTTTCATGTTTTTAGTGTATCAACGAAATAATGTCTATGTTATGATAGTGACGTAGTCAGTCCCCAGGAGGGGATTTCTCTACAACTTATCACGATTTCTTTTTGTGGTGGGTTGAAATATTCACTTTTTGGTCAAAACAGTTATTTGCCTACTTCGTAAATGCATCAATGTAAAGCCTCAGTCTCCTTTATTTCCGAACTATAACTGAAAAAATGAAATGTCAAAATTAAAGTGGCTGATTCTTTGCATTCATGTATTGATTTCAAACTAGAAATGCCGTTTTTAAATCGAAGATCGATTAATCGAGCTCTTCCCATTCGATTTTTCGTCGATCCAAAAAAAAAAATAGATTTGTTCTCAACTGATGCATATAACATTGCATTAGAAAATCTAGAAAATTATAATCAAATTTTGATACTAGATGCAGTAACTGCGCTAGTTTATTTAACAAAAAATAGCCAAAGCGCAAATTGGAGCAAAATGATATTGTTAAGCATTTCTGGGGATGCAGTTTTGTAGCCCATTCAATTTTAGTATAATAAAGTGCATTCTTCAAGTGGCTACGAAATATCGTTGATTCTTGGCAATTATTATTTTTTCTATGCCAGGCATTTTATTCATATGAAAATTTTTTCAAGCATATTTTGTATGGATGAAAATGCGCTACAAAACTGCATACTTAAATTTTTTCCAAAAGGTCTAATTATTGAGTGAAAAATGCAGTTAAACGAAACGAAAACGGAAAAAATTCTACTTTTTTGCCTAATAACAAATTGTTGAATATGGCTGCGTTTCTTTATACATTCCGGATAATCCCATTTCACAGCCGGAATAAACAGAATACGTTTGAAATATACGTTAACATATCATCAGGAACGTTCTAAAGAATAAGTAAACAAAAAAGTTTATTCCAAACGTTCAGAATGAATAAAGAAATACAGCCTATGAAAACAGAAAAAAAAATTAAAAAATCTGTATTGCACAAAAATCTGTATACGAAAGCTTTATTGGGCTAATGTTTGTAATTTCAGTGTTGGTCAGAAGGTAGTATTTTGTTCTTCAAAAAAATTAAGTAAAAGGCATTTTATGTGAACAGATCTTGGGAGATCGACTTAGTTTTTGACGATTTCTTCCTGCATCGATTTCTTTTTTCATTTCGATTCGAATCGATTTTTTTTATTTCAATCTGGCATCTCTACTTCAAGCGGAATTCTAATAGTGAAATTTAACGATACATTTTCATGTAGAACCTCTTAAATATACTATAGATGATATTCATCGGCGTAGCCAGAATGAAATTTAGGGGG